CTACCAGGAATATAAAAAATTAGCCAGATGTGGTAGTGCATGCCCATAGTCCCAGATACTCAGGAGGCTGAGGTGGGAGGGTTGCTTGAGCCTGGGAGACAGAGGTTGCAGTGAGCCATGGGTGTGTCACTGCACTCTAGCCTGGATGACAGAGCAAGACCCTGTCTTAAAAAGAAAAAAAAAAAAAAAAAAAAAAGGACTGCCAGGCATGGTGGCTTATGCCTGTAATCTTAGCACTTTGGAAGGCTGAGGCGGGTGGATCAGGAGTTTCAGACCAGCCTGGCCAACATAGTGAAACCTTGTCTCTACTACAAATACAAAAGATTAACTGGGCATGGTGGTGCAAGCCTGCAATCCCAGCTACTTGGGAGGCTGAGGCAGGAGAATCACTTGAACCTGGGAGGCGGAGGTTGCAGGGAGCCAAGATTGCACCACTGCATACCAGCCTGGGCGACAGGGCAAGACTCGCGGTGGCTCACGCCTGTAATCCCAGCACTTTGGGAGGCCGAGGCAGGCAGATCACGAGATCAAGAGATCGAGACCATCCTGGCCAACATGGTAACACCCCGTCTCTACTAAAAAAAATACAAAAATTAGCTGGGCGTGGTGGCGCATGCCTGTAGTCTCAGCTACTCTGGAGGCTGAGGCAGGAGAATTGTTTGAACCTGGGAGGTGGAAGTTGCAGTGAGCCAAGATCGCGCCACTGTACTCCAGCCTGGCTCCTGGCGACAGAGCGAGACTCTTTCTCAAAAAAAAAAAAAATTTACAAAAAGAAATGGACATGGTTTCCTTTTAAATTTAGAAGCCTAAGCAAAGATCCTAAAAGGGTACTTGCAGATGAACGACAGTAAACTAATGAGAAAAACAGGATCCGGGAAGGCCAACAGTACTGTGCAGGATGTAAGTGCCTTTTTCAGCACTTCTGCTTCTGCTTTCAGCTTTACGGGAATCACACGTGTCATGTATGCTTCTGTGAATCTCAAACCAATGCAGGGTTTCCTTCTGTTTGAGTCGGTGCATTGAGTTATGTAGCTGGGAGGACTCCAGGAACCAGTGACTCACCCATCTCTGGAGTGTCAGTGACGCATTGAAGGAGGTTTCCCAAGAAGTGACAGAGGAAATATCCGTCACCCTCCACAACCTTGGAAGGTGTCTGAAGACAGTGCTCTTTCTATCTTTCCCTTTGACTAGGTGGTAGATTCAGATCAGCTTTGCAGCCCAGGTGGGGTCGGGGATCACTTTCTGAAAACAAGTTGCCCACTTCCTACAGACAGAGATATAAGCTGCGGGGTGGGGGCGGAGGCGGGGATGAGTAAGGATGAAAGGGAGGGGGGTGGTGTAGGAGCCCCCTTCTTCCTTTGAACAGGCCCGGGTGGGCTCCACACCTGCAGGTGGCTTCCCACTGAGAGGAGTGCGGGGGAGGGGAGGGGACACCAGTGCTGCTCCCAGACCCATTAAGGCCCACAGAAAAACACAGAAAGGGAACTATTATAGATATTCTCCTTCAGGGCAGAGAATCCAGGCTCACCTAAGGTTGCGGGAGCGCAGACCACCCCTGCCACTAGCCCAGCCCCATGCCAACTTCCAGACAAGTAAATGCAATTGCAGATGTAGCTCGCCCAATGTCTACAGCTAGTAAAGACCCAGGCTGTGCTGTGTGGCCACCTCAGACCTGTCTCACTGTCATTTCCATGGTTCAGATTTTTTAAATTTAAGAATAAATCTTTCATTTGTGGATATTTTTGTTGATTCCAATTTCTTACTATAACAATGGACAGAGGTTCTTTTTCCCAAACTTTGAATTGCTTTTTCCCCGACTACAAAAGTAATACATAAGGTAAAAATTCACACAAGGAACTGTACAAAGCAATAGTGGAAATTCTCCAAAATAACTGCCATTAACAGCTAGGAGTAAATCCTTACAGACCTTTTCCTGCACGTATACAAACAGATATACCTGGAGGCCTTGATTTACTATTAGAGAAAAAAGACCAAATCTTCAGGACAATATTAGAATATTTAATTTTCCATATTCTCTATTTTATGTATTATATTTTCAATATTTAAATTTTATGTTTTAAAAAATAATAGGAAGAAAAAACAACAAGAAACTTTTTTTTTTTTTGAAACAGGGTCTTGCTCTGTTGCCCAGGCTGGAGTACAGTGGCGCAATCACAGCTCACTGCAGCCTCAAACTCCCAGGCTCAGGAGATCCTCCCACCTCATCCTCGCTAACAGCTGGGACTACAAGCAAACACCATTGTGCCCAGAAAAATTTTAAACATTTTTGTAGAGACAAGGTCTCGCTATGTTGCCCAGGCTGCTCTCAAACTCCTGAGCTCAAGTGATCATTCTGTGTGGGCTTCTCAAAGGGCTGGGATTACAGGTGTGAGCTGTAATCCCATGTGTTGGTTGAAGAAACTTCCAAATACCAATCTTATACATTTCTACAATTTTCTGTACTGGGATTAAAAAAAAATCTCTTTGTTGAAGTATACAACTATATACATAGCTATAATGTCAGCATATCTGAGTGTACAACTTGATGACTTTTACTAATGAAACACACTCATGTAAGTAACTCCCAGATTGAGAGGCAGAAACGCTGACCTTCAAACTTCATGCTCCCTCCTAATGAGCACCACTGGACCAAGGGTAACTGTATCGTGACTTCTAACAACATATATTTGTTTTGCTTGTTTTCTTCTGTGCTTGAATTTAACAGTGACCATGTATTGCACCATGTATTGCATTGAGAATAATCTATACAGACATTTAAAAAATATTTGCATATGTCATAACCTTCATTTGCTATCAGCACATACGGATCTAGCTCATCCCTTAGCAGCTGTCTAAACCCCATTATTAGACTGTATCTGAATTTATCTGACCAGTCCCTTTTGATGGACATCGGGATTAATTCCTATTTTTAGCTAGTAACCAGCACTAGAAGGAACATTCTGATGCGTATTTCGTTGTGCATGCCACTTTTTGATGTGTTTCTTTCAGATAAAGGCCAACAAGTGGAATTGCTAGTCAAGAGATGGCTGGATGGGGTTTTGCCGGTATATTTCATCGTAACGACCCTACAGAAGGTAGTAGCAGGTTTGTTCCTTCTTCAAAACAAAAGTCAGGTGCTGGGTGCAGACATTCTCACCGCAGCCCCCACCATTGGCAGCCCAGCCTGCTCTAGCTCCTTGGGCAGCCGGAGCTGAGCTCGCCTCGGCAGGTGACTGCTGTACAGAAAACAGACGGAGGAGCGCAAACCACCCCTGCCCCGAGCCAAGCACCATGAGAACTTGCAAACATGTGCATGCAATTGCAAAGACAGCAGCAGGGAGATAGTCAAATATCAAAGCCTGCAGAGGGACAAAGGGCCTTGCGGCCTGTTCTTACTTCCGCTGAGCACTGGATATAGGCCTTCAAGGAGGGCAGATCGTGTGCACTGCAGGCTTTAGTCTCTTATTTATGTGTGATGGCCCAGGCAAGGAGCCTACCTGAAACATGAACCCTAGAGGACTCTGGTCCAGCTGACCCCAACCCTCTCCCATCAGCCTTGGAAGGCAGCCTGTCCTTTGTCCTCAGAGCAATGGCAGAGCTTTTGCTTCTTTAGAGCATCTCTTGCTGAGGCAGGAGAATAAGGTCTGGAGGAGGGAATCTAAGGCCAATTTGTGCTAAATCAAGGAGAAACACCAACGTCTGACAGCAGGAAATCTGGGGTCAATTTGTGTTGACTTCCCAAAGCTGGATCAAAATGAAAATACCTGGGTCTGGGGGCGGGGCATCTAAGGCCAATTAACGCAAATGTCCTAAAGCTAAACCAAAATGAAAACCCTGTCTCCCCACACTGAGGAACCAAGGATCACAGGCTACTCTCCCTACAGCCCTCCCCCTTCCACCGCATCTCAGATGGAAGGGAGACTGCCCTGGATTGACCACAGGCCAAGAACCGGGCTATCCCTTCATCCGAATAGGGCATCAATTCAGCCTTTAATTAGCCACAGACCAAATCTTTCATTCAGATAAAGGGTAGCCAACAGGGGCCTCAAAAGGGGTACTTAAAACCCAGAAAACTTTGCAATTGGGCCCTTGGGCCACCTGGTAGGGCCCATTCCCACCCTGTGGGTGCTTTCTCGCTTTAATTCCTGCTTTAATTCCTTTATTGCTTTGTGCGTTTTGTCCAGTTCTTTGTTCAAAATGCCAAGGACCTGAACAACTTACACTCCAGGCCCTCCTTCCGGGGACACTGCATCTATGCCTTTCTGACTCCACCCAGCATACCTCTGCTGCGACCGTACCCCAGATGCCAGGAGATAGCCACCTTGCCACCTCCCCAGAGTTGTCTTTCATGTCCTGTTTTTTTGTAACATTTCTTACATTCTGTGGCTGTCACGGGTCTCTGAACATGCCATTCTTTGAGCTGGTCGGGAAAAGCAGGTGGGGCTGGATTCTCCTTGGGCCTGGTGCTTCTGTTAATGCAGTGTTTTATGGTGCAATAGCTCCTATACTGCTAAAGCTCACGTAGGGGGTGGCTAAGATGGGTCCCAGGCACTTTTTCAAACCCAGGCTCAAGGTCCTGCTCTCCACTCTCCACTCCTGCTCAGCACTTTCTCCTTGCATTTTCCTTCTCCAACTGTCAAGGCTAAGAATCGATAAGAAAATGAATGGACATGTGACAGAACCCCTGATGCCTCCTACCTTCTCTTTGGTGCCTGACTTGAGGCCAGGGATGCCTGGGGTTCAACCTGCCATAGAAACAAACAAGTTCATCTTGGGAGTGGGCCAGGGGATGGGCCCGAGGCACAGGCAGCCTGGCCCTGGGTGCCCTGGGCGCTTCCTAGCCTCTCTAGGACTCTCTACACCTACAACATTGGATAAACGAAGATCTCGGGTGCAAAAGGAAGATGTATGAATTTTATCCTTGTGGTTTCTGTTCCACTGAGCATTGAAGTCTTTGCTGTAGATGGGCTTTTGCATGTTTATGTCACAGGAGCCATTTGTATCTTTAACCTGGGACTTTATTTGTACAACCAAGACATTTGTACTAAAAGAGCAGAAAGTGAATAAAGAACTAAGCCATGGAGAGTAGAAGTTGGAGCTGAGAAACCTCCTGGTGGACGATGAAGGGAACTCCTGTCCTCAAAACCACAAGTTCCCAGCCCCAAAGGCAGCCCTCGGAGACTGACACGCTTCTGGGAACTGGACAGCTCCTCTCGAGAAGCCTCTTTCCCAACCTGGGCCTGGCCTCTCTGTCGGAAGGTTAGCCCCAGCCTGGGAAGACCAAGGGGAGCCAACCCAGCATCATCCCACTAAAGACCCAGGACCCAATGTCACTGCCCTATCGGGGCAAAGCAACTTGCCAAGATGCGGGCTAAACGGCCACCACGAAAGGTCTCAGCCCAGGGAAAGTCAGAAGCGGCGGCATGGGTGACATTTCCTCCTGGGTCCTCCAGCACGCTCTGTGAAGTGCCCTGGGGGCAACGAAGTCTTCTCCCTTGCATTCTCAGTGACCCACGAACAAGTTGCTATCATGCATATCACACACAGAAAGGATTTGCAGCAGTGAAAAGCAGGCAGCTTCAGCAGCCAGTGAACTCTCCAGGGTCAAATGTGTCCCTTCTCCCATTTTTCCACATCACACTTGTTGCTGACCAATGTCTTTTTGTAGCAGGACATCAGAACCGTATTCTCTTCTCATTTGTAAAACCTGAAAACAACAGCAAGTTGTGAAACCACTTATTTTCAGGCAAATGATATTGAATTTCCTGTAACAGAGATAAATGGCAGATGAGAATGCAGAGTTCTACTCCAAGTGGATGGGGGAGGGGGGGTTGTTAGTATGTTTTTTGTTAGTATGTTTCTAGGGCCCATCTTAGCCATTAAAAAGATTAAGGCTAAAAAACAAAACAAAACAAAACTTCAGCGCAAAGAACTGTAGCTTTGAATTGTGTTACTTCCTGTAGTACCTCTATGATAAGCTAAGAGAATCACACATTTATATCAAGGGGCCAGAAGAAATTAGCCTGTGGATGGGATGACTTTCTAAGGAGAGTTAGAGGCTGGGTAACATCTACCTCAAATCGCAACTCCGATTTGTGAGCACTAGGGGCTATTTTCTCCAGCCTGGATCATAATAGCAAATAGAGGTGGTTTTCAAACTTTTTTAAAGCCCCAAACCCTTTTGTTCAAATGACATGTTACAGGTAAGTGTAAGCCCAGACAATAGGGAAAGTACAGCTGTTTGAAATGAAGAGAGTCGGGGGGTTCAGGATACCCCCATGACCACCCAGAGCCCCTTCCCTGCCTCAAGCTGATCCTGGGCTTGCAAAAGCATGAGGTCCTGCATCCAGCACCCCCCAGAAACTGGCGTCAGATCACTGGGGAGCAAGTTAAAATGAAGGGGTGAGGACAGACCACAGTTAGTACCCAGGAAGGGACTTTTTCTCCATGGAGGGACTTTTTCTCCATGAAAAGTCACCATGGGAGAGATTTTGAACAGAACTTTTTTTTTGAGATGGAGTCTCGCTCTGTCACCCAGGCTGGAGTGCGGTGGTGCAATCTTGGTTCATTGCAACCTCCACCTCCCTGGTTCAAGCGATTCTCCTGTCTCAGCCTCCTGAGTCACCGGAATTACAGGCGCTCACCACCACAAAGGGTTAATTTTTTTTTGTATTTTTAGTAGAGATGGGGTTTTATCATGTTGGGCAGGCTGGTCTGGTCTCGAACTCCTGATCTCAGATGATCCACCCGCCTCAGCCTCCCAAAGTGCTGGGATTACAGGCGTGAGCTACCAGCCTTGAATGGAACTTTCTAGAGGTCTGGCCTGAGACAGCTACACTCAAGTTATTATCTCTTGGGTAGGGGGCACCTTCTAAATCCAACACACGAGGTGAAAATTGCACACAACCAAAATATCGTAGCTCACTGCAGCTTTGAACTCCGGGGCTCAAGTGATCTTCCTGCTTCAGCCTCCCAGCTGGGACTACAGGTGTGTGCCACCATGCCAGGCTGAGTCTATGATCTTCTAAAGGCGAGTTCTGACTTTGGCTCCTTGCTGCAGTTGTAGGCTGCAAGCTGCAGCAGGGGCCGAGGAACCCAGGGCCACACCCAGGTCACATACTTACTGTTTCATGAAACGAAGCCGGGCTCTCCTCTGCCGGCCTGGAAGAGGAAAACAAGGGCACCAGTCAGTGCGGGCTGTGGGTCACTGCGCTGAGCCCCAGAGGCCAAGGAAGATGGTCACAGGGGCAGCCGACACCTCAGCCTACCTCCCTGGTCCCAGATCCTGGCCCAAACACTTTACACATTTTAATCCTCTTAATGCTCCCTGAGAACCTGAGTTGGATACTACTTTTAAGATTTCCATTTTATATACGGGGAAACTGAGATGCAGAGTGAGTGAGTTACTGGGTAACATGCCCAAAGTCATGCAGCTAGTAAGTGGGAAAGACAGAATTCAAACTCAGTTAATCAGCTGCAGAGTGTGTGTCCTTCAAAACACCTGCTTGCCCTTCACAGCAGGTCAGTCGTGCAAGGTCCCACAGCCAGCAGTCTCAGGCTAGGGCAACTGCGTTCAGAGGGTGAGCAAGATTTCCCACTGGGAGGCAGGAAGAAAACAGAAGCATATCTATTTACAGTTGTATCTCAGCCTTTATTACTTTTGATTTTTATTTACTTTTTAGGAATGGGGTCTTACTGTGTTGTCTAGGCTAGACTTGAACTCCTGGGCGCTAGTGATCCTCCCTCCTCAGCCTCTCGACTACAGGCACATGCCACTACACCCAGCTTACTTTTTATTTTTGAAGCACATTTAATAACATACAGAAAATATTAAATAAGTAAATACAGCCAACTGCTGCATTTACTTTATATATTCAAATAGCTGTATTCACTTATTTAATATTTTATATATGTTATTATATGTGCTTCAAATTATTTTACCAGTGAGGTCCTTCCTTGATCAAAAGAGTTTGCAGGCCAGGTACAGTGGCTCATGCCTGTAATCCCAGCACTTTGGGAGGCTGAGGTGGGTGGATCATGAGGTCAGGAGTTTGAGATCAGCCTGGCCAACATAGTGAAACCCTGTCTCTAATAAAAATACAAAAAATTAGCTGGGTGTGGTGGTGGGCACCTGTAATCCCAGCTACTTGGCAGGCTGAGGCAGGAGAATCGCTTAAACCCAGGAGGTGGGGGTTGCAGTGAGCCAAGATCGCGCCACTGCACTCCAGCCTAGGTGACAGAGTGGGACTCCATTGCCAAAGAAAAAAGAAGGAAAGAAAGAAAGAGGAAGGAAGGGAGGGAGGGAGGGAAAGAAAAGAAAAGAAAAGTCAAATCCAGAGGAAGGAAGGAAGAAGGAAGGAAGGAAGGAATGGAGGTTAGGGAGGGAACGAAAGGAAAAGAAAAGAAAAGAAAAAAAAGTCAAGGTCAGAGCCCTAAGGGATCTATCATTTGTAGGTTTCATTGCAGTTCCTAATAAGACCTGAAGAGGGCACTGTAGCCCAGGAGCCGGTTAGAACAGAGGGAACATTCTCGTGGGTCCTCCCCTTTGGAGACGCCTTGCATCCCAGCTCCTCCCCTACCTCCCGGCTCCCCACACACCTGTCAAGTACCCTCCAACCTCCAAGATCTGCCGTAATTT